TCCAAACCGAAGCGTTCTTAGAATGCAAGTCTACATCATAAGTTAAAAAGGAGATTGGAAACGGCACTTTCTGGTCTTGCCATTGCCAATAATTAATGTGGGCCTGTTTACTTTTTGTGCAGTGTCAACAATAATAATTCGAGTACATATACTATTGGTGACTGCCAGCTGTGCCAAGAGTTCTGTTTTAAATTTATATTTATTGATTTGTTTATTTATTTAGTTTTTTGAGTATTGAGAAATTTTTAGTAATTTTTTTTGAAGAAAATAGGGTTTTTTAAAAAATAAAAATAACAGATTCTATTATCCTGTATAAGTTGTATTAATCTATTAATTTAAGATTTAAAAAAGTAATATGATGAGATTTTATTTATTTATTCTTTTAAACAGCGTGGAATTCTTTTTCTTTTTGGGGGAAAGGGGAAAGGGGCTGGGGATTTAGGAAAGGGGCCGGGATCAAATCCCCAGCTCTTTAGTATCAAACACGTCCTGCAGGGGTAGTTGTTGGGTCACCAAGTGCTGGACATAATATGATGAGATTAATTATAATTTTATATAAAATTTTAATAAAATAAAATTTAAATTTTAAATAAATAACTTTAATGGTAACAAAATTTAATAAATAATATTGATATTGGGTCGATGGGTGACCACGAAACAAAGAACTGGCCTGATCTAGCCCAGTTTGCTAAGGCTAAAGTAGCCCCAATCCAAAGAGTAAGGAAAAAAAACTAGGGTGAGGATTGGGGTATGGGTATGGGTATATTTATTATTTATAATTATTTTATTTATTTAGATAAGTATTTTACTTAAATCGTAGAAAAAATTGAGTAGGTAATGGGTATGAAAAAAATATATTTATAAGTATTAAGTTAAGTAACAACGGTAAAGATTCAAAATTGTCTATCGAATTTGATTAACTGTTTTATTTAATTAATATGTTACTTGTACTTATATAATTGAAATTTTATATATACTTATTATACTTAATATTTATATAATAAAAATAATTTTTAAAATAAGAATAATAAAATAAAAAAATCACACATGTAACCTATAAATAACAAATCCTAAATCAAACACATATTATATACACATCTAATAACTTTTTTCCTTCTATGCACTTTTTGGCAACGATGAGTACTTATAACTTTAAAGTTTAATTCTTTTTAGTTTTTTTTTTTTTTACTTTTTTATTAGTGACTTTCAAGTTATAGTTTTTGTTTATTGTATAGATATTTTTTGAATCCAAACTTCAAATTTAAGATGACAAGAATCGTAAGTAAAAAATATAAATATCAAGATGTTAAAATAGATATAATACCATCGATCACTATCCCTTTTTAACAAATCGAAGTAGAGAATTATGGAGACTATGAGTTTAAAAACGTGGATATCTTTTTTGGAAGAACTTTCATTTTGTTATTTAATTTATTTTCATTATTTATTTTATGGTACATATTTTTTTGTTCCTTATTGTTAATTATTTAATAAAGTTTAGTTTTTTAATGGTATGTAGATTTGGGTTCTTGTTATGAAACCAAATTTTAATTCTCTATTGTTATTTTAAATTATATTTAAATTGGATTATAATAAATAATATTTTATTAAAATTTTACTAGTTTTATTTAAGTTTAGCTCAAAAGTAAATAATATTTTATTAAATTTTAATTTGAAAAATTTAAAGTAAAATATTATTCAGTATTCACCAAGTATATAATTATATACCTGCAAACTAACTAGTAGCTATTGGGTTAAGGATCAAGTATATGTCTTCAAGTATTTGAATAAATACCAAATCTAAACAAAATATATCTAAAGATTTTTATATCAAGCACTAAATACATTTTATACCCCATCTGTACCCAAAAATACTCATCTCTATAAAAAAACTGGCCTAATAAGAGTCCGCGCGCAATCAGTTAGTATTAGTTAAAACACAGCCCAGCACCCATTTACAACGTGGGCCTCAGCTCTGGGTTCTAAATGAATCCGTAACTGCATGCAATCTCAAAAAAAAAAAAAAAAAAAAAAAGGGGGAAAAATGAAGAAGAAGAAGAAGAAAGAAAGAAAATCAGTGAGAATATAAAAATAGCTGCATCTTGCAGGTGCAAAGTATCAGGAAAAAAAAAAAATATATATATATATATATATATTTTAAATATTCAGCGGTGCGGTGCCAAGTGGCGGCATCATGGCCTTCGTGTCTCTTTCAGTCCACTAACAACGCAAACGTCAAAAGACACCTGAATGGCCACCTCTTGCTAGTGATATTGGATTTGTTTTTTTTTTTTTTTGACAGGAGTAATAGTTAAGAATTAAAAATAAAAAATTAGTACCTTACTCTTGAACAATATTCAATCACTAATTAAGGGTGCAATCCACCAGCAGTCTTGTTGGGTTACGGTGGCCACCAATAGATTACAACAGAAGAATATGTAATATTGGATTTTGAATTAGGCTGCTAACCTCTATATGTTCGAATTCCATGAATTTTTTTTTATTTTTTAATTAACTTGTAAATAATTATAATATGTTAAAAAAAAAAACCTTTCTTCTTTTTTTTTTTTTTAGCAGGACAATTTGGGAGAATGGAGGAATATTGTTCATAGGATTTGAAAATGCAATTGGCGAGATGTGATTTCCATTTAATCAAAGGTTTTTGGTCACTAAGTTAGAATGTAGGGATCATCTCAAGACACCTAGTTCCTGGTATGGGAAGGTGGTATGGGAAGGTAGATACGGTACAGTTTTAGTTGCAATTGAAATTAAATTATTAGTTAAAAAAGATGTTATTTAATAAAATTGTAATTTTAAGATTTTAGTTTTAATGTTTAAAATTTTATATAATTTAAAATAAAATTAAATGGTTTTATAAATTAATTAAATTTAGAATTTTTAATATTTATTTTAAAATTTTATACCTAATAAGTTGGTTATTTTAGTTTTTAATGTTATTTTTTGATTGTTAATTTTAATTATTTGAATTAAAAAAATTAAAAAAAACTTATAATTACAATTATACTAAATAGAGGTTAAATTTTTATTTATTAAATTTTAAATATCATTTATCAAACTAAAAAAATACGTACCATTCATATATTAATAATGGTTTTAACTGAAAAATTATTTTTATATTTTAAATGATTTTTTAAAAATTTCTTAATTATTATTTTACTAATTTTAATAATTAAAAAATATTTAAGTAAATAAATAATTTAGTAAAAAGTGATAGAAAAACCTTAAAAAAATTGAGGCAAAACACCATTTTAAACCTTGAATTTACCTCATATTCTTGATTACCCTTTATACCTTTATTAAAGTAAATAAATCCCTAACTTTTGCAATTTAGACAATTTAACATCTTTTCTTATCCATTTATATCTTACTTACATAAATAAACATAGATAAAGTCAATATTGTCATATAAGCAATTATATAATAATATTTTATTTATGCATGCAAGAAACAAATGAACATTAAATTTATAAAAAGAAGAATTAAATTATTTAAATTATTTAATTCAAAAATTTATTTGTTTTAATAAATTTTTTTTTTTTTGAACATAGGGGAATTTTGGGGGAGGGGGGATTAGAACCAAGGTCATAGCCTTGGAATATACACACCCTATCCACTGCATCAAGTGCTGCGGGTGTGTGTTTTAATAAAAATTTAACTAAAAATCTAAAATAAATTTAAAGGTTTAACTTAAAGATCCGGTCAAACATACCCATCGGCAATAATTTTAGTCCGTTTTGATTTTTAAATCTTTCTGGCCACTCCCATATGCATGAAGATAGGAAATAATTGTCATCATCCCCCCAGTCCCCACCCAACAACACTTTAGTACGGTGCTACGTGTCCCATACGACAGTGAAAGTTGAAAATGAATAAATATCTTACTGAACATTATCCTCGCAACAAAAAAATATCTGACCTAGAGGAGGTTTGATAATCTTATAAGATTTTTAGTTTTTT